CCCCCCCCCCCCCCGGTTTTGATAGCTGGCCTCGGACCAGCGTCTGGGCGGTGATGCATTTTTTGCTGGTTTGAATTGCTCGCGCGTCAGGTCTCCGCTTTTGTGTTCCCCCTTCGATGTGCGGAAACTCGGGGATGGGGAGAGGAATCCCCTACAAATTTTGGGCACCAATGTCTTTCAAGCACGGTCATCTGTCGCCGAAACATGGCCAAATCGGTGTGACGAAGAGTGCGCTATTTTTGTCCCTCCATAGAATCCAACAGATCGTAAATTTATGCCCTATAGATCTCGTCCTGGACCACAAAATGGGTTATTTTGGCTTTCCCGGAAATCAAGTTTAGAACAGGCCGATTTTAAGAGCCTGTTTTTTCTCTCCTGGGACGGAGGGAAAAGGAAGGGTCGCATTTCGCGCTCCGCGGCTCATTGTGAAAGATGTTTTCGTCTATGTTTGCTGTCGTATTTTTTTTAACAATCGAAGTTGATGTTGTTTTTCCAGCCCCATGTGTTGATGCTTGCTGCCGCATGTGTCTTTTTACATAATGCCAGTTTATTTTTTACTCATGTCTGGTTCGACAAGACAAGACTTGGAGGGAGAATTGTGCTGAACCGTCCGCGTGTACAAAATTGAGGATACCTGCACCATGGGCTTGCTCTGTGTCATCCCGAATCGTCGCTCCTCGGTAAAGGAGGCAAGACTGTACGGAAGGCAGCTAAAACTGAAACCGACCGTAGTAGCTGGATCGCCCCCAAAATCGACGATCGCTATCCGTTGTTGCAGAACTTCGCTCCTGATTTTCTTTGCTAGCATCATTGACGGCTCGCTAAGACGAATGCGACGCATTCGATTCGCAAGCAGTATGTCATTTGTGAGGAGTTGACGTACGTTGGAAGTGAGTGCCTGCGACAACAGTGCGACAGCAGTGCGACAACTTCAGTGGTCAGCTATTCGTGGTGGTGGTGTCATCCTCTTCAATCGTCCTCATTAATAGAAATGTTCGAGGCGAGCAGTCGATGTTCTTTGGTCACAAACTATGAGTGTGTTCGTCCCACTTTGCTGGCGATTCCCTACACACCTCTCGGTGTACATGTTTGACGTATCAACCAGAGTCACAAAGGAGTTATTATGTTCCCACCTTTCCTCCTCCAGAAGTTGCCTTGGTTTTTATCTCGAGGAGGATTCAGCCGTTCTCTTCCCTCGTCGACCGTGAGGGGAAGCATGTATACTCACGGAATTGATGGTTGTTCCCGCAAGTTGTTGGCAAAGCAAACCCTCGAGAGTAGAGACAGACCCACAACCTGTTTTATTTTTCAAGTAAATAGGTTGACGAGAGTAACGACTAGACTGCCGGGGCGACCTGCTATGCAAGACAGAACGTTTGGATTTCGCACACTCGAACAGCCTAACGTTCCTCAACCTACAGAATTCATAGAGCAGACAAGAAAACCTCCCCCTGTATACGCAGAGCCCACGACAAAACTTCCGTAGTATTGGATATGTATGCATATATCTAGCATAGGTTGACCGAAGACACGATCTTTGCACCTCTACGAAGCGTGCGAAGCGTGGGGGGGTCATTGCCGTTTTTTGTGCCGACTAAGCCAACCCCATTCACTCGCCGCAACTTTGTTCACTCTACGAGGTGTGAGGGTAAAATTTACAGTCCCATAGCCAATGATACATATCATGCAAGAATTTCTAGAACGCCCCTTCCATGCGCTGGAGCTCCCTGTCGGGCAGACACCCCCTATACACCCGACTCTTGGGGGGTTGTGGCCGTTAGCCAAGATGAACTGGCTCTTGTAGACGGACCAAGTTGCACCTGAGACCCCGATTTATGGGAACGAAATCTTGTCGACAAATCTTGGTCTTATCTGCCAGTTTCACGATTGATGGGAGCGAAATCTTCCGATGTATCTTGGCCAAGATTTCTCGAGGCCCGAAATCTGCCCTTTCGAACAAATGTTGACCCAACATGTGTCGAAACGAGCCTTGCGACAATCATGAGGCCGCGTAACAAATCTTGCCTGGGTGGGGCGCGATACCCGAAGGTCAGTCAACCTAATCGTCCATAACTCCATTAAATATGCACGTGGCACACTCGCAAGGGTCTCTAACGCACCCTGGCGTCACTGAGTCGGCACCACGGGCGCCGACAGCGAACGAAAACGACCAAGGCGCGCGAAAAAATGCGTATTTGCCCTGGCCCGTTCCACGTGCGTCATCACCACTCTATCGAGGGACCGTTCAAAGAGTACTTTATTTTGGAAGCAGAAAAATAGAGGAGGAACGTTTTGCCAACACAGCTCTGTCGTGTGCGACGCCTCTATCTCTTCATCGAATCACCCCACATCCAATCCATTGGGAAATCAAGCACACAAAATATATTGACCAAGGGCCAGTGTTCACGTTGACCCCATTCATCAGTGGCAAACAAGTGAGGTAGAGATAAATCAAGAGATCGCCCTCTGTTGAACAGCTTCCCCGCAATGTCAACCTGCGTGAATATCTGTGATACTGTATTGCTCCCGAACAAGAGTTCTAGGCAAGCATTCACAAGCACAAGGTTGGGTTCTTCGGGTAGTGATGCAACCCTTTTTGTTGCTCTGGCAATGTACGCCAATAATGGTGCCATGTTCCTGAAAGGCCTTCAACAGAACCCCGCCGCTCGCCAACACAACACGGTACCAGGCTTCGATGGACCGATCAGCATCGTAGGTTGTGGGTTTACCACTTGATATCTGGCAATCAGGCAGCATACATCTCGATTTCTGGCTTCTTTTTGCCCACAAAACACGGCTATCGTTGAAGTACAACTTCTACATCCAGAGGTGTAGAAGAAGACCTTTGCTAAATTAAGGACAATCGTAGTACATCGGCTTCGTTTTCCTTGCTTTTTCCTCCCCCTGCGTTTCTCAATTCCTCGCGATGGGTTAGCTGTACCTCTGTACATAAATGTATGGCAGGTTCGTTTCCTACCCTTCTTCGGCTAGCCTTTCCCAGCCCTTGTGCCCCGGAGCCTTGCATCTGTCAAAGTCGGCGGGTCGGCGATCGGTAGTTTCGAAGGCATCGAAGATCCCTCACGCCTTTTGTCTGTCGCCGCGCGTGCGGTGGACGCGTGAGGTGCTGCTACGACCGTCAGCTGTGGTATCGGTCGCGGCTCCCTCAGTTTCTGCACCCTTTCGGGTTCTCCCGTATCAGGAGACTATTGTTCTCCAACACTGTAAAACCGAGAGTACCGAGCTCTTTCATGCTAGATGATTATTTTTATCCCTTGCCCTGCGGACGGTCTCGATACAAGTGCAGCTCCATGTCACCCTTCTGCACGCAGTCCATTATCCTCCTCACGTCTTCGTTGAACTCTCAAACCTAGCAAAGCATTTGCGGCACATTTCTTGTGCAGTTGAGTTGTTCCACTGCGGCTTGATGAGGGTGAAAGTTTGCCTTTGCACACCAGAGAATCAGCAATGTGTATGAGCGTTTCGTCTAGGTAGGGTCATTGACAGGGGTCTCCCGTTTCTCGGGTTTGCACACTTCGCCTTGTGGACGAGGTTGCGATGCAAACCTTACATCGAGGCTTACGTCACCTGAAAAATGTGAGAACCTTGTGCACATTTCTCAATTTCTCCGTCCGCTGTTTTGGCCTTTTCCTCGAAAACCCCCGTGTGATCTATGGATGGCATGGGGATTGCGGGTGTGTCCATTGTCCTAATTGTGGACGTCGACTTTTACCCCGCGTTTTGCCGTGTTTTTGGGCGCACCAGTAGGAAAAGGCTGCAGGAGTTTCTTTTTATTTCGACCTTCCTTCTGAGGTGCTTGCTCATCTTCTTGATTTCGAGAGGCACTGAGCCGTTCTTTTCCTCGTCGACGGTAAAGTCGAATTTTGTGTAGCGACTACTTGGTCGCCGTTCCACACGTTTTGGGGTATGAGAGAACAAATCCCGCGTCGTGTGATGACGTCGAGATTAAATACCTCGTCCAATTGCCACGAGGTTGCGATGTGTCAAATAGAACCACCGGGCGGAGTACGTTAGCTAAAAATTACAACCGTAGACACGGTTCCACCCACCAAATCACCCACGAACCTGCCCATCCCCATACCTCTTTGCTCGGCAGGGCTTTGATTCTGCAAACGTTCTCATTGGTTTTTGCTGCCGAGTTTGGAGATCGGTCCTTCCTGACTACCATCGCTTTGGGCGCGGCGCAGAATCCGTTTGGCGTTGCGTCAGGCGCGATTGTGGCGCACGCATCGGCCACCGGTAAGGTTTTGCAACTCATTATTCCTCGAGGAAACACGCTATTTAGGCAGCAGCGAGTCCGGTGTTTACGTACTCGTGGTGGATCGAGAGCCTGGCGGAACACGAAACAAGAGAATCACAAGCAACTAGTGGTGTCACCAGAAAAAGCCTGCCGCTACTCCGCTTTTTATAGCAAAACACTCGAAATACAACAGTAGTCCAACTATCCACGAGGTACAGCCCGTTTGTCGGGCATGCTGGTACAAGAAGCCTATCGTGATGCCCATGTGTTAGTTTCACATCTAATCGACGTATTCATTTGCACGGATATCCTTGGCCCGGAGCGAAGCAAATTGAACCCTTCATTTGTTCCACATGTCCTTTGCTTGAAACCAAACTGAAATATTGCTTATCGAGCAGATCCCTCCCTCCTATAAATGCCTTTGGCCAGGTATCGCTGTGACGGGAGGAGCGCTACTTTCCCAGTACATCTCGGAAAAGGTTATCGGTTACATTGGCGGAGCACTGTTTGTCGTGTTTGCAGTAACCACAGCGATTGGTATTTTTTGAGAGGTTTCGTCGGAATGCCTGCGTAGAGCCTTAGTATAAGGGTTTTTGTTGTCTCTGTTGCTGTGCGACTACAAAAGCATGAATAATTTGTAGACGAAGATTAAGCCGCATGATGCCTGCCGTCCCGGGCACACAACACGCGAATTCTTAGTGCATGCATCTAGAACCACACTGGAGAAATTCCCCCACGCAACCGACACATACTATGACCAAGGATGATCGTATTTTGGTTTTGTTTACACTTCTCCAGAGCCATTCGTGGACCGGGCGAACATCCTCATCGCCGCTTGAGGAACTTCTGGCTCTATGAAAGGCGTTGAAGGTGTACGCACCACGCAGGCACTCGCCCTGCAGCGTTGACGCCATTTTACCTCACTTTCGTACCAAACGATGAACAGTCACGAAGGGTAGTAGTGTCTCCGGGATTAGGAGATGCCGCCCTTCTACTAGAGTTTCTGGCTATGTCGTCTTGATCGACCTCTACAGTAGTAGAGCCTTGACACGCCAACGGCAGCATCTTCATCCTTGCTGTGCTACCTCAACGGCATATTCATGTTCCGCGTACAGCAGTGCCGGCATTCGTCAGGCCGAATACGGGTGCTTTGAAAACAAAATAACCTTCATTAACGAATGAGCGGAACCAAAATATTCAAAGCTCTCATCAGCAGCGATCGAATAAGCCCATTCACAGCGCGGGGTTTGGGCTTTCAAGAAAGATATGCCCCCATGACCATCATAGCAGGAGGCACTTCATCCCACAAGAATCGCCATATCCCAACAACTACGGCAAACCCTGCGAAAAAAAATGCAGATTCGAAAAGCTCTCTTTCAGAACTATTTTACTGCGGCGGAAATATCCCCGAGCTCGTTGATGAAGAACTAAAAAAAATCAGAACCAACATTTCAATTTTTTTCGCCCACATCAGTCCCAACGGCTGCCACACATGAAGAGGTCGCGGTCCACGCCCATGGCTCTTAAGCTGCGCGACAAGTCCCTGGCGACCATACTGGCAACCTTGGCTCATCGTGGTGGTAAGCTGCTGAGTGTGCATCAGCACAAGGCTCCGAAGAAGTATCTTGTGCAACTGACGGCCCAAGTGCATGGATCCAGACAGCGCTGGTGCACCCACCTCCTCCCCTCCCCGGCCTGCTCCCCGGCCGGGGCCGAAATCGACCTTGTGAGCCCCTCGCGGGCGAACCAGGCCACAACAGATAGTAGGTGGGTGGTGTCCCAAGGTGCAACTCACCGCCGCGCTGGCTCAGCGTGGCGGTGAGGATGCACAGACGGTGGTAGTGGCGAGAGGTGTATGTGGACCTTGTCCCCGCGGCAGCAATGCAAAGCGGCAAACTGCACCTGGTAACCACCGTCGCGGAAAACGTGGCCCACGAAGCTGGAGGAGCAGAGAGATTCGTAAAAACCACGCGAGTAAGCACCGTTCGCGGGAGAAGGGAGATAACCGCGGGCGACGCGGGGGGGGAGTGCTGCACCCTCCTCGTCCAAACACCACAGGCAAGCACCGAGCCCTGCAAAGATGGATCGATGCGAAGAAACTCGCCGCTCGGATTAAACGGAAGAAAACACC